GGGATGCCGCGGAGATTAACGCGGCGAGCCGGGACGGGGGGCAGACTGCGCCGATGTGGGTGTTCGGTGTCCGTGGAGGAGCCGGTGCGTGCCCTGCAGCACCGGTGGGTCGGGGGCCGTCCGTGCCCCACGCTGCAGCCCCTTCCTCCTCCGGGGCTTTCAGCTGCTTGCCAGAAGGGAGGAAAACACCCATGGGGGTTTGAAGTCACTCCTGCTTGCTAAGACCTGATGTATCACTGCCATTGGTGGCTGCCCCGTCTCAAATTTCAATATAAATACATTTTATTTGAGCACTTTCTTAAGAAAACAAAAAAAATAAATAAACCAAGCACAAAACCAATCACCACCACCACCAAAAAACCGCAAAACTTTTTCTTTTAACCTTGCTTTCATGAAGCCGTCACTCTGGCTTGACTTTTTTAGCCTTCTTTCACCTCGTGTTTACTATCCTCCATTCAGAACAAAGCACGGAATATGTAGCAGGACACAGGAAACTAAGAATCAGAAAAACGAAGTGTGCTAACATTAGAAGTATGCATGGCAGCCATATTTTTTTTTCCCCAGCCAGACCTGTACAGAAATAACAGCACTTGAAAAGTTTAGTTGAATGCCAGCATTGATTGCTTATGTTCTGGCATCACAGGAAAAATATGTCTACCCAAAATACGCACAAATTGTGGATGAGGTGAGAGGCAGCATATAGACATACATGTTATGCTTTGAAAGTAATTGGTTATGAGACTCCTATCTTGAGTAAAATAGAGTGGTCTTACAGGAAAACTAATTAAAAAGTGACAACAGTGCCCCTTCTGTGTGCTCCTGCTTGCATCTCCTAGGTGAGAGTGAGGCATCCTCTCATCGGTGTGAATACTTGCTTTACTTGGCAAAGTAAAGTGCGAATAGTCATGACTAAAGCTGAAATGAAAAGGTCCCACTGGGTTACTTGCACCTAACAGCTAGAAGCACCAGCCCCAGATCAGAAGAGCCCCACTATGGAAAGTAACGTATGGAGCAAAATCCCTTCTCAAGTGAAATTTTCAGTATAACAAGACAAGCAGCAGCTCGGGGAGGCTTGCAGGAGTGTATACAAGGAAACAAATGTAAGATGGTGCTATTAAAGTTATTTTCAAGCCTTGAGAGCAAATCGCAGTCTAGAATATGCTTATCGGTAAAAAGCCTTCAGGAACACTTACACTGTGCCACCTGTTAAGATAGCACACGAAAAATCTTTTTAGGAAATCTTGCTCTGATAAACTTTGGTTAGAAGTAGATGCTGGCAAAAGTTATCCCACAGGTGTTTTATCAGCACACAAATGCTACAATACAAGACATAGAACTTTCAAGGATCAGACTAGGAGAACCATCGACGGAAAGCACAACATCTTATTTCTTTTTTGGCTTTGTACAGATGAGTGCTGCATAACAGAAAGAAAGCCAAGAATATTTGAAAAGGAAATGCAGAAGAATGTAACCATTTATTTTTCTTGTTCCACTGCAGTCCTCTGTTTCTAATTATATGCCAGATGCTGAAGTGACTTCATTCAACAACTATTTTGATTTGATCCTATCTACCACCCTTGTCTCAGACTCGCGGTACCCAAACTCCAATCGCCTATGTAATTCAAAAGCAGTATGATTATAAAATACCAAAATGACCTTTTTTTTGCCCCAGGGGGGGTGGGGTAGACTCTTACAAAAAAATGAAGCTCAAAAATACAATTTTTTTTTTCCAAAAAAAGCCAGTAAAAACTGCCTTTCAAGAAAAGGTAGAGAAAGGATCCTTATACATCACAACCTTCCTGCATAAACTTGTTCATATAATTTTGTCTTTTGTAGGCATATCAGTATGGTGAAACGCAAACACTTTGTATTTCAGGTATACAAGAAATCTTGTGGACAGTGGAAATGGAAAGTTCAACTTGATGATCTTGTGCTGGGGTGAAGGGCACGGCAGGTTCGTATCCAAAGACTATGGGTTTAGCAAACAGGTAAAAAGCCACCATATCTTTCACTGTCATATAAAAGGGGAAAATAATCAGCCCTATGTGAGCTATTGGAAAGTGTCTGGAATCTAAGCAGAGGTATTGGTGTAGCAGTCTTAAATATTTGCTGTATCTTTTGCAGGTTTGTATCTCATTGACATCTTTAGAGCACTTTTAAAAATGCTCTGGTTTTCTACCAAATCTAAGCTTCTCTCCTGTCAGAGGAATTTTTTAGTCCCAGAGATACGGTGAGGTCTGTGGGTAACAGCGAGTGTTCAACCTATCCCATGCAACAGTTGGCTGCAGAAGCAGGAATTGGTGGAGTTTACATAGCCTTTGTTCTTTGTTTGTAAAGGAGTTTAAATCCTGCCTCTATGACAAGATGAGAAAGGTAGGTTTGGGTCAGGACTGCAGGCTGTGAGGATAGAAAACCTTTCCAGGAGCACATGGCTTTCTTTAGGTTCACACATCCCACCTTCTCTTTCAAAATGGACCACACTGCTGATGTGGCCTCCTAGTTGTGTGCACAGATGGTACACTACGTTGTGTAGTCCTACAAACGTGAGGGCAGGATCTGTCCCTTGGGGGAGTTTCACGAAGTGTTGGCTAAAATAAAATATGGAATAAAAAAACTTGCAGGTTTTGACTGATTATTCTCACCAAAGAAGATGTTGGAGCATTTTTTTGTTTTAATTGAGCATGCAATTGAGCATTTACAGTATTCTCTAGGGGATGCCATGACATTCTACTCAGAGGGATATAGGAACTGACCCCACCACCTCTACTCCTTCCAGATTATTCCCACAAAGCCTGTAATTTACGTCAAACTGTGTTTGGGTTGGATGAGCATTTGCTAGAGCTAGACTGGAGAGAAGGATGTAAGGAAGAATATAAGGAATGTAAGGATATAACAAAGAAGTTATTTACTGGTGAGGCACTGGAACAGGTTGCCCAAAGAAGTGGTAAATGCTCCATCCCTGGCAGTGTTCAAGGCCAGGCTGGACAGAGCCTTGGGTGACATGGTCTAGGGTGAGTCATTCCTGCCATGGCAGCGGGCTTGGAACTAGATGATCTTATGGTCCTTTCCAACCCAAACCATTCTATGATTCTGTGACTGAAACCACAAGTTGGTTTTGCTTCCTACATGAGGAGATCAGATTGTTCTCATGGCTTGTGGAAGGAGTGTGACAATGTGGCATTTGTGAACTGTTCTGTGCCTGAAGCAAGCTCTGCTCTCTTGGCATCTCAGTTTTGTAAGAAACACTGACATTTGTTTACTGAAAACAGTAATGGACAAGAACCAAGTTTTTGACTGAAACTCATTAGCACTGTATTTCTGGGAGGATCAAATTCTTCCTTCTCCTTCCCCTCGGATGAGTGGAAAGCTCTCTCTTTCTCCTAATCCCATGGACTCCTGTAGCAGTCCTCTATTTAAAAAGCCCAAACAAACTTAAACTACTTATTTAGCCCATATGTCTCCAAATGTAGAAATTAAAACATACTTCAAATCAGGCAAGCAGGCAAATCGTACCAGTTCCTGCTGTTTTGTTCGTGTTTGGCCAAACAAGAGAAATTAACAGCTTACTGCAGCTGCTTGTACTTAGCACTACCAGAGCAAGAGATACAGCACCTTTTTTTACTCAAGAAATGTCTGTGCACTCCAGCAGTAAAGAGACCATAGAAATTAAGCAGAAGTAGCTCATTTCTCCCACATTTTGGGATCTGCAAATATGTGGTATACTTACAAGTTTATACCAGCCTCTGCCTGAGGTAATTTTGTTTCCTAGTCAACAAACATTTTTGTGTTCTGAAGGCATTTTCTGTCCTCCGCCTTCCTCCAGGCTTCTTTGTATTTCTCTGTGGCAAAGCCGTAGATGATTGAACAGTATCTGACTCTCCTCCATCTGCTGCTCTATGTGAGCTTATCACCATGCATTTCCATCAAAGCAGGTTTTTAAGTACATTAAGTAGGCATATCTTAGCCACTGTGAGTGTTTTTTCCCTAAGACTTTTGTGCATGACCTGTGTGCAATTACACTTGATTTAGGGCTGTGTCCAGATGTAATATGCTATGCTATCTGTCCTGAAATTAAATATGTACATCACACTGAGTTTGGTTATTCCTTTCACATATATAGCAGCATCCATGATCACACCGACTCACACTGCTTTATGAAGATCCTCCAGGGAAATCTAAAGGAGACTCTGTTTAAATGGCCTGAGAAAAAAGGGAATGGTGAAATGATTAAAAAATCAGAACGAGTTTTAAGGGAAAATCAATGTGCCTACATTAATGGTAAGGTATTAAGCTTGTTTTGACAGCTACCCATCCATGACTTACTCTAACAGAATAGTTTATCTGCTCTCTAGGCTCCTACCTTTAACAATATAATACTAATGCACGGTTTAGGAATGTGGCTATCTAGATTCTGCACAAATGTATATTTAGATTCAGTAAACCAAACAAAACCGTGTTCTTTTAACTTACTCTTAAGACACTGCAACAATTGCTTGACACTAAGATATGCTGGGTATCTCTTTTAGACCAAGCAGCCTTCAGCATTGTGTCCCTAATGTCTATCTGAAATTACTTGGGTTCTCAGACTCTGTTGGGTTTTCCTGCCTGAGCAGTTCTTTCCAATGGAAGCAATTGTACCCTGTGTGCATCTGATCCAAATCTTCCTTGGCTGTTTTAAACAAATTTGATATCCGGTTCTCTGAGGCGGCTTGGATATCTGCCATGTTTCATAACAGATGTTTTGGTTTAAAAGGAACAGGTAAAACAAGTAGAAGGAAAACACTGACAGTGTGTTGATTGACCTAACTACTTCAGTAGTGAGCAGTCTTCATGTTCCTATTGCATGGTTCTTGATTGCTCCTGTACTTTATTTTTAAAGTTGGAACACACAGTGCTTATTTCAGTTCCCAGTAGATGAGCACAGATTTAGGACTTTTTTTCCCCTGTGTCAACTATTTAGATAACTATGTTAATGACACTTTGGGCTTACGCTTCAGATGTATCAGAGTTAAGAGTGTACTCAAGATTCTCAGGGTATCATGCCTGTGTTGCACAATACAGGTCCAGGTATTATACAGCATATTAATTCAAGTACAAAGGCCTTAGTTGTTTTTACAGCAGAGTCATAAGTTTAAATTCCAGGTCTCTTAAGTAACTCAAAAACTCAACTTTAGTGTAGAATGGAAATTATTTGTTTCATAGATGTGATTCTTCATACCTTACATTTTTATGTAATAGCTCGTTTTCTACTCCACCATCGCAGAAAGTGCCATTACTTCATTAGTAACTACACAACAAACAATGCCTTGTTGTATTATGTGTTCAATTATACTTGCTATTCAGCTAAACTTGGAAGTATGCCAGTCACTACTAATTTGTCACCTTAGTCAAAAGAGCAGACCAATGAAAAGCCTGTTCTCCAAACTAATAAACTGGAAGGATTAATTAGGAAACAGATGCCTGTAGAAGAAGACAATTACATCTCTGTCCAGAAGTGCATGCCCCAAATACACGTAGCTGACTTTTAATGTGACTGATGTCCTTGTTACCAGGCTAAGAACTAGCAGTACAAAGTCTTCTTCCCTGTAAAACATCTTGCTAATTTTTAGATCAGCATCTCCTGGGAAAGCAAATAAACTTGCAGCCCTTTGGGAATGATAGCTAGAAAATTAGTGACAGCATGCCCTTCCTTAAGTTTCTCTGGATTTCTGTTGGCCTTTATCCTGTAGCAGATAATCCAGAAGTTGCATGAATTGTGGAAGGCAATAATGTATTTTGAATTACCAGTGTATTTAGGAATCTGTGCTAGAGAACAGCAGTCAAATTCATTGTACTGAGTTACTTGCTGTCCATAAAAGTACAGGCATGCCTAACAGGTTTGCTTATGAGTTTCTGTTCAGAAAGCAGTTTTCCAGGCGTCTGAGACCTCGTTACATCTTCCTGCTAACATAGCCTCTTGTTTCATGTCATTGCTGGTGTAGACTCCATTGGCCTGCACCGTGTGGAGAACATCAGCCACACGGAGTCTGCCGTTAGCCTGCATTTGTACAGCCCACCTTTCGACAGCTGTAATACCTTTGATCAGAGGACTGGACACAGGCACAAAGTCAAGATGACCTTCTACAGCCAGTTCGGGGAAAGGACTCACTGTGTAAGTATGAGTTGACACGCTGCCCGCCTGGACCTGGGCTCTCAGTCCCTGCAGGCACAGGGGCAAGGGGCTGCCCTCCTGCTTGTGCAGGGCAGAGCACTGGTGCCCTGGGACAGGCAGAAGGAAGGTCCAGCAGCCCGGCCTTTCCTGGGGCATCCCCACATAGGATCAGCATAAAACGTGTTTCCAAATACTACCCGATCTGTAGGTTTGCACTTCCCTCATGTTAAGTTGCCTGCTTTGTAGCTTTCTCCCTTTCATCAGCA